TTAGAAAATCATTTAGAATTTTCGGTAAAAGGATATTGATGGTAGAGAAAACCACTCAAAGTTTTTTATGAATCCGATAATTCTGGAGGGTCCAGGGTAGAAGAAAGAAGTAGTTGAAGTCACCCAAGAAGAAAAAATTGCAAATTTAGAAGAATTTTAGATGTTAGCCATGGAAGAAGAACTAAATCAATTTGCTAGAAAAAATGTTTGGGAGCTAGTTGAATGACCTAAGAATAAGAGTGTTGTTGGAACAAAATGAGTTTTTAAAAATAAAATGAATGAGTATGATGTAGTGGTTAAAATAAATTATGACTAATGGCTAAGAGGTACAATAAGATAGAAAAGATTAACTTTGAAGATACTTTTTCCCCTTTAACTATACAAGAAGTAATATGGGTGCTGCTAGCTTTTGCATGCTTTAAGAGATTCAAATTGTATCAAATAGATGTTAAAAGTGCCTTTCTAAATGGGGTAGTAAAAGAAGATATGTATATTGAACAACCCCCAGGCTTTAAAAATTCTCAGTTTCCTAATCTTGTGTTCAAATTAAAAAAATATATTATATGGACTAAAATAAGCACCAAGAGCATTATATGAAAGGTTAAGCACATTCCTATTGGATAGAACCTTTGTTAAGGGGAGTTTAGACTGCTCTCTTTTTCTTTAAAAAGTAGGAGAACTAATCATTGTCTAGATATATGTTGATGATATTTTGTGTGGATCTTTTGATAAAAAGCTATGTGATGAAATGTTTAAAAATAATGAGTATGGAGTTTGAAATGAGAATAATAGGAGAACTGAACTACTTTTTTGGATTTAGCATAAGGTAGAAAGATGATGGATTTTTCCTTAGTAAATCAAAATACATTAAGTACATTCTCAAAAAATATGAAATGGATAAATCTAAGGTAATTAACACTCTTATAAGCTCTACAATTTAGTTGGATAAGGACTCAAGTGGAAAATCAATTGATCAAAAGAAATATAGGAAAATATTTGGATCACTTCTTTAATTAATTGTTGGCAAAACTAATAATATATTTAGTGTTTATCTTTGTGCTAAATTTTAAGTTGATCCAAAAGAATCCCACATGACTGTTGTTAAGAGAATCCTTAGATATTTCTTAAGAATCCAAAACTTAGGAATCTGATATCTTAAGTACAACACTTCCTTTAAGATCGTAGGATATGTTGATTCAGTCTTTGTTAGATGTTGGGTTAATATAAAAAGTAATTCTGGAACCTACCAATTTATAGGACAATATTTAATCTCTTAATCCAGTATAAAATAGAACTCAGTAGCCATATCCACTACATAAGCTAAATATATAGCCTTAAAAAGTTGTGTGGCACAGGTCCTTTGGTTAAAGTAACAAATATTGAATTTAAGAATACCTATAGGCATCATTCCAATCTTATGTGATAACACTAGTGCCATATATATTTCAAAGAATCCAATCCAATGCTCTAGGATCAAACACATAGATATAAGACACATTTTCATTAGGGATCATGTCACTAAGCGAGATATAGAGCTACATCATGTAACCACTAAAAATCAGCTTGTATATATCTTTACAAAACCATTAGCTTTTGAAACCATTAGCACCTTAAGAACTAGATTAGTTGTCATAGATATTCATGCTTGAAAACATGAAATCATGTTGTTGTTTTTTTTGTCCTTTAAGTGATTTTTTTGTTTTTGTTATTTTGTTTTGCTTATTTATTTTAAAAAATTAAGAATCTAATAACTACTTACCTCAGTAGTCGATCACTTCTTTAAAATAAAAATCTTACCTATTTTGCAAGCAATGATTGACACCTCTAAAAATAGTTAAGGGAAGAAAAATTGAAGATTATCTTCCATCCATTAACTCCTTTTGGGGTGTAATTTCTTTTTTAATCAAAATCTATTTCAAATTAAAAATTGGACCAATAAATAGATATTTGTTTCATCTTCCTATAGTTATCTATCTAATTTGAATGTTTTTACAAATCAATGAAACTATTTCAAATTTTCTTAATCAAGTTATTTGGCTATATTAGATTGATCAAGTTTTAGTTGGTGATTTACTCCTCTTTTTTTAAGAGAGTGAGTTATTCTTCTATTACATTTAGAATATAATCATATAATTGAGAGTCTTTAAAGATAAGGAAAGGAAGCAAAGTTGCAAAAGTGAAAAAGAGGTCGAAAATGAGCACAAAAGCTGAAAAAGATGTGTAATGGTCATTAAAAATTTAAAGATGCACAAAGTGTATCAAAAATTAAAAGATGTATAAAGTGCGCCAAACACTGATAAAAAAGTATAAAATGAGCCCATAATGAGTTAGCTTCCCTTCCTATCAAATCTTTAAATCTTAAATAAATTTGTATGCAAATTGATATCGTCCACACCTAAATTTAAAAATCATGATTTCTTATTGATCACTTTGCAAAGCTATTCTATTATATATATTTCTAAAAATAAGTTTAAAAATATCATATTTTCTTTCTAATTTTTTTTTCTTTATTATATTTTTTATTAAAAAGGACTTTAACCCGTAAGGAGCCTGAGCTAGGGTTGAAAAATTTTAAATTTCTAATATTTTTGGTTCTTAGTGTTGAAAATACATATCTTATTGGGTATTCTGCTCTACTCATAAGGTAAAATTTTCATTTAGTGCATGTGATCATTTCTAAAGAAAAGAAAACCTTTAATTTTTTTTGTGGTTGTTTTGTCTTATTTTTTAATTTATTTTATGTTATTCTTGTTTTGTTTTGTTTTGTTTTTTTGTTTTGTTTTGGACCCTTCCTAATCATCACATTCCATCCTTTAGTTTCTCAAAATTTTGTTCATATCATCCAATATGATTCATATCATACTATACAATCTGAATAACATATCAAATCTCTGATTATAACATAACTAATGGCTAATATTGATCAATTATTGGTGATTTTACCATACGATTTATACTTCATACTGTATGATCCACATGTTAGGAACCATTAGATGAATTGAATTCAGTCATTGTGATTTTTAATAACACAATGTACAGTGCGATCCACCTGTTCGTACTATACAAACTCATAAGTCAATGATTGTATAGGGCGACTCTTTGAGACAAATTCTCTCTCTCTAATCATTTAGTACGATGGTTGATCATATTGTATGATAGGACCAAGTTTTTTCTTGGTTTGGGGAACAATTAGCTTCCATCCACTGCTTATTCTAACCACCACCACCTCCTCCTCCGCATGATCAGGATTCTTCTAACTACCAATTTGACTCATGGCATACTTGGACCACCATCTCAGGCACTTTTCATGCTCAACTTCAGGAAAGTGCTTATTCACAGGACCCTCAGCGCATCTCGTCATGACCATTCAACTCGAGCTTCTCCCTTCTTATGATAACATCTCACTCCCTTCTCTCTCTTCTCATGTGATTTGAGATCTCTCATGTGAGTCATCGCTAACATTAGCAAACATGTTGGTCATATGTCCCCTCATCTCAACACTCATCTATAGAATAGCCCAAACCTATTTGCCTATCCAACACTATTGAGCTCACTCAATACTACTTGTCAGAGATCATCCAATCTCACTTACTTTCAACCAATTAGAGGATTGCAGAGGTCTAGGGTAGTCTATATAGCATTGTATGGGTGTTCTTTATAGTGTTATTTTTTTTCTCTTTTTGTGTAACCATTTTGATAGCCCTCGAAACTCTATGAATAAGAGGTGATGAGGAGCTGTTTCATATTTTTGATTGATTCTAGTAGATCCCATATTGGTTTGAGACTCGTAGTTTTCTTGAGCTTTTATAGATTCTCTCCTCCTCCATGTCTCTTTCTACGCTCTAGTCTCACACAGTTTTTTTTTTTCAATAGCTCACTAGGTAAGTTTACTAGAAAAGTCAAGTGTCACCCACAGACATATTGGATCCAACTCTTGTAATGGGAAAGCTTACATGAGTAAAAGACTTGAGAAATTATAGTGGTTGTGGTTTGTAATGTTTGCAAGGAAAATCTAACCTAATAACCCTTAAAAATTGATTCTTAAGTACTTGGGAGATCAAACTATTTCAGTTGCCTACATGGTTCTAAATTTATTTTAACATATGATTCTTTAAATTACTAAAAATATATAATCCAGTATTTTAATTTAATTTCAAATTAAATTTAAGAAGTCAATCAAATGTAAGTTACCTGTTGAATCTTAAACAAAAACTTCTAATAATTTGATCATATAAAATCATAAAGCTAATATATTTAAGAGAACAAATCTTTTCAAGTTGGATGGTTGAAGTGGAGGAATGCATCGGGCTTACCGTGCAATAGAAAAGTCCCTATCTAATTTAAGGGAAAATTCTATAAGATGGTGGTGAGACCTGCAATGCTTTATGGTGTCGAATATTAGCCATTAAAAGAGAAGCATAATACTAAGTTAAATGTTGCAGAGATGAGGTTGCTTAGGTGAATGAGTGGCTTGACCCTTAGAGATGGGATACGAAATGAGCATATACGTGAAAAGGTTGGTGTAGCTCTAGTGGAAGATAAGATTAGAGAGGGACGATTTAGATGGTTTGGTCACATTAAATAGAGGCCTGACCCAGTTAGGAAAGTTGAGGCATTAAATTTGACTTATGTTAAGAAAGGTAAAGTAGACCTAAAACGACTTAGTTAGAAAATATTAAAAATGATTTTTCTTTTTTAGATTTAAATAAGAATTTGACTTTTAACCTAACAGAATGACAAAAAAGATTTCATGTAGCTGACTCCCATAATAAGATAATGCTTGATGTTGTTATTGCTGATGCTTCTTTTGTTTTTTAACTTATCAAAAAGCACCCGGCCCGACAGGCTATGGTTGATCAGCAAGGGGGGTTAGATTCTCGGACGGAGAAGCCTATTGATTTTTTACCACTTGCGTACAAAGACAGTGAACTGTCGATACTCTGTCACTGTGTCTCGCCTTCCTCATCTCCTCCCCTGTATAAATGGAGTGCTTCGCATTTGTCTTTCTCGCTCTCTCTGAACCTGCTACCATACAGGAAACGCGGTTCGCTAGGGCTTCCAGATCTCGCCGGCGACTGGCCTCTACCTGCTGTTCCGGACAGCCATGTCTGTCGGCAGATACATGGCCTTCTCCCCGTCGCCATCCACCGCGCCTCACTCGCCTCATATCTCCGGTCTCCGCACCGCAACCGCCATCGTCGAGCAGGAGAAGTATGCTTTCATCCGTGTTCCATAACGCCTTTGTTGTTTTATTTGATTTTTCCTTTTTTGGATCGGCGCACTTGTTTGGATCTGGCGTATTTCTCGGGATTTTTAGTATGTGGACTTTGTACTTAATATATCATCTTAATTTTGTGCAAAGATCTTGGATCGTGGCTTTGAACGATGGTTTACTGTTGTTGATGTTGATTGTTGATACTTGCTTTTTGCTCAGATTTATTTCGATTTTTATGCAAATTTCATTGATGTAAGCGGGCAAAACATTTGCAGGTATCTGTCGGAATTGTTGGCAGAGCGCAACAAACTAGGTCCTTTTATGCCAGTGCTTCCGCACTGCTACCGTTTACTAAACCAGGGTGAAATTTTGAATCCAATAACGCATCTGTTATGCTTACTGCTGATTTTTATATATGCATATTATTTGATGATTAATGCCTCTCAGAGCTCCCTAAGTCTGCAGGAATAACCGACCAAGATTGTACTAAAAAAATTTAGTCGGATTGCTTTGCTTTCTTGTTCGACCCACATTTGTATTGTAGCCTTGGTTGACCACGGGTTTAGGCGAACTTCTAAGCTCGAGGCTCAGGAGTACCACCCTTCTGTGATCTAGTTGTTTCATATTTTTGCGGTTTCAACGTTTCTGTTTTTTTTTTGGTGGGTGATCTTTTCTGTGTCTTCTATCTGTTTTATTGTGTGAGACCAACTGAGCTAACTTATGTTAACCTTATCTCGCTCTTTTTCCTGGGTGATGGTAATTGTGGTAGTTTTTTTTTTTGAACTTATCGGGCAGACAGTTTCTATAATGCTTAACATTTTGAAACTCAAGTTGACGGTAAACTATAGAATGATCTGGATAATTGCTTTCATCCATATATTTATGTAGGGATGCAGGGAAATAAAAAATGAAGGTTGGCGGTTGGAATGATGGTGCATGAAAATGAAAGCTTGAAAATGATGTTTAAACACAAAGAAAAAGAGAGATAGGGAAAGTATCTTAAGAATTTTGAGGATAACTATCCTTCAAAAAAGACTTAAATAAGCTTCCTTAAATACACTCACACAAAGGGGGAAAGTGAGGAATCAAGGGGTGGTTGCCTACTTGAACAAGGGGAATCTAATATCTCATTTCATTGTTATGCTTAAAATAGAAAATTAGGCCCTTATATAATAGGAACTTGCCTCAAGTATATTTTTCAGGAAGGACCCTAATAATAACAGAAATGAGAAAAGATACCTGGAACTAGGTAAATATATGATGTCCATATGAAAGCCCAAATGCATAAAATTTGCATAAAATCTAATGCATATGGTCTAGAAGATAAAGACAGAAACTTAAAATATGTGTCTTGTCATGCTGCATATCAAAAGATGATGTTTCACGAATTTGGAAGCCTGGTGCTGCATCAATGAGCCTATTTATAATGCATATTTTGTTGGATCTCCATTCATTCTTAGAGAGAGTAGAAGTTTGTTTTATGGTATTGCTGTTCTATTTGTTTTTAAAAGTTAGAATTCCATCCCAAATATTTTGTTAATTGAAAGTGGGGCATAGGGCCAGTCACAAAAAAGCAAGCATGGGGTTAGTTGGAACAAATATGGAGGGTACAATGCCAGCTACAAATCTAATTTCAGGAGCTTTTGCACATTTTGTTTAGATGGAAGATATCTAACTCTGATATATCATTAAAAATTAATCATGACTGGGCACGAATCTCAAGGCAAAATGAGTTGGAAACTTTCAAATTAATTACGAGACCATTTGAACTTTGATTTCAGCAAATTTATAGTCAAACTGAACATTTCGAAAAGAAGAACCCAACGACACCAAATTTGACATAGTTCGAGCCCAAATGGATCCAAATTGAAGACCCAGAGCACATTTGGAATATTCAAACCATAAATTGGACAATCAAGCGATTTTCAAACATGACATGTTATAGTCAAATTGAGTGGCTTGTTGAGATTAAGCCAACGAGCTTAAGATCGCTAAATTCTGATATCTTTAAGACACTCAGATACTCGATAAAAAGTCTACGATCAAGGAAGTCGATATCGGTTGTCCACCTGACCATGGCTGTCGCCAGACTTCTGCCCGACCACCAGCTGTCATCGAACTTCCATTGACCACCAGCTTGAAAGCACGAGATGCGCCAAGAGGGGGGTGGGGGTGAATTGATAGTTTTTGAAATAAAAAATAAAACCTAAATAGGAGTTCTAATTTTTTTGTAGTTTTCAAAAAAATACTTTAACTAATTCGAAGAGGAAGCTAGTGATTAAACACGATTGTAATAGCGGTGATAAAATTCTAAATCACACAGCAAGGTTCTACAGCAATATTCTCACCAAGAAGTTATAGTAATTATAGGATGCAAAAAGAAAATAAAAACCAGTAAATGGAAAAAGCACACCAGGATATTTATAATGGTTTTGTCACTTGACCTACGTCCACCCCCCTGAGCCCTCCACTCCGAGAATTTCACTACTCAAAAGTAATTCTCTTTTTGCCCGCACAACAAGACGGAGAAGCCCTTACACAAGCTCACTTTCACCTTCTCCGGTGTGGCGGAGTACCAAACGCTATGTCACCCTCCTGGTGACGGCAGCAGACCTTTTCATTTTTCTCCCTCCTGGAGAAGGCAGAGTACTTTTGAGGACACAAACCTTGAAGGCTCTCCCCCTTAGTGAGCTCTCACAAGATTTTCTCCGGCCACAGGAGGAGCAAGCATGCAGCAGGCTTGGAGCAACCATGTGATCCCCTCACACTCCTCCCTCACAAACTCACCTTCTCATTCCTCTCACAAACCCAAAAATCTTATCAAGTAGCTCCTCTAAATAGTTCTCCCTTCCTTGTCCCGTTCCCCTCTCTCTGAAAAAGAGACAACACAATACTTAAATATCAGGCTTTAAGAAACCCTAAATTTTCAATTTAGTCATTTATGTTCGTACAATACGATCAGTTCAAAATAGCTTTCGTTCTAGTATGGAGTAGAAGCAGACAACAATTCTGAACTATATCGTACAGTACGATACAAATATCGTCCATTACGATGTGGTAAATTTCTTCTGTTCGCACAGGATGAATGCTAGATGAGAGAAATTCGTCTATGTTTATCGCCTGGTACGACCCAAATCGTATCGTACAGTGCGATTTGTTAAAATTTTCAGATCGTCCTATACGATATATACATCCTCCAGTACAATTAGTTCAAAAATTAAGGTATTGTCCTGTACGATCTATGGGACGACAAAAAACAGTCTCGGTTTATTGTATAGTACAAACTTGGTCGTACAGTACGATTATTAATCATTAATTAAACCTTGATTTTAATTGACTAATCACGGGGGTTAATTTGAGCAAGTATTGAAATAATCGTACAATACGATATGATCTTACAGTATGATCAGTTCAAAATTTAACTATTTAAAAACTTGCTTAAATGAATCTGGCTGTTACGGTTTCGGATTGAAAACAAATCATATTGTACGATGACTATCGTACAGTACGATTAGTTTACAGAATATAGCCGTTTGTGCCTCAATATATCGTACATTACAATTTAAAATCGTATAGTACGATCTACAGAAAAAATAATAATTTTTCCAAAAAAAAACTCCCTCCCTTTGTGTGTGCGCGGTTGCTCAGTTTGCTTGCACATTTTGTGGCCATACTCAAGAGAAGGAAAAAAAATACAAAGTTACATACTTCACATTCTATTCTACACAGTCTTTAATCTTCTGTTGTCTTAAGCAATATGTGATCTCCCTGAAATGTTAGTACTTACAGACAAGAGCAACATTCAAAATATTCAATGAATAATGAAATAATTCAATCGATATTATTTGTCACCATCAAAATCTCAGGCTAGGGGTCATGGACTGCAATAATCTCCTTCTTTTTGATGATATCCAATAATATTGTCGATAAGCAAGTTAGGATGATAATTTTCATTTTTTTTTAAAATAAACATAAAAACATGAATAGATAACCAAACATGCATTTCATTTGAAGTTAGAAACTAAACACATGATAAACATGATATGCAAATAAGAAGGCATACTAACTAAAGTAGACAAGCTTCTTCCCTTTTTGACATTATCAAAAAGAGGAGAACAAAAAAAAAACATATGACAGTGACATAGTCAATAAGGAGGATCTTGATCAGGTGGTGGTGTATGTGGCTGAAAGTAGTGGTGGATGGACGTGAACTGTTGATCAATTGAAGAATTTTTTTTTTCAAAACCACCGCATGTCCTCCTCGTGCTGTTGGTGTTGTTCTTGGATATTAGAGTCAAGTCGGGTTTGGAGTTCATTGAGTCGTTCAATTATATCGTCGTGAGGATACTCGTTGTGGTGCATGTCTTCTTGGTAGAGCAGGTTCTCCTAGTGGAGCAGGTTCTTCTGGTGAAGCAGCCTCTCCTTCTTCATCAAAATCCGGCTCATCACGTGCTTGGCCCCGATGAACCAGGATACAGAAGGAGGCATCCGTATAGAAAATAGGGATATTATCGGGTTCACCAGGATAGATTAACTTGTATTTGTAGTGAAGAATATATCCTATGAGATGACCGAGGGTTAAATTGAGTTTTTATGGGTGCTAGGAAGACGAACTAGGGTCATGTTCTAGATATAGTTAATAATTAAATCTGCTTCATCAAATCTAGTATTTGACATGATTAGGTTTGTGACAACATACATGATTAAGGTTATGCGTATCCTATCTCTAGTTTTGGGTATGATTGATGTCCTAAGAATATGTTGGATAATGCGGGCATTTTGAGTTAAGGACTGGATAAGTGGTTGGTGTTGGTTCAAACCAACATTTCTAAGAACTAGATTGATGGCACTCCAGTCAAATTTGTTTGTTATAAAAGAGTGGGCTTGAGGTCCTTCAGTAGAAAGCCCGATGTATTGAGCGATGTCTACTTTGGTGATTTCTACATTTTGACGGTAAAAAAAAGAGGTGATGGTCAAGCTTTCTATATTTATCCTTAGATTGGCCATGAACTCAAAAAGGAGCTCAGAATTGAAAGGAAATTTCAAGGTGAGATGGAATTGTAAGGTAGTGGAAACAAAAAGGCTTATCACCTCAATGTTTAAGGCTGCTTGATTTAGCATACGAGAAGGAGTTACCTTGCATTCCTTGAACTTATGGTACGCTTTCTCATCCTTGTCGGACAAAAAGAGATCGTCGTGGCAACGAGAGAGAGGAGCTTCCCAGGACGAGTTTGCCTTGTTTGCTTGAGCTTGCCATTGAGTAAGAACAAGTAAGAGGCCGACTCGCCTTGGGAAGCTCCTCTTCCTCTCGTTGCCATGACGATTGCTTTTTGTCCGCTAAGGATGAGGAAGTGTACCATA